CTTAAAATTAGAGACAAGTTCCGAGCACCAGACCCAAATGGACATTGTCACAAACCTGCCATCTCTCCTGTACATTCTCGTAAGGCGTTATTTCTCTTTCCTAAGTGTCACTTGTTCTACCATAAGTGCCCTTTCTCTCCCCCTCACCAAGAAGTCATTTGTCTTTCAGAAAATGCCTTTCTCCTTTTCCTGTCACTTATTAAATTGTATATAAGCCCCCAAATCTAGCCACCCCTCAAATCACACTTCTTTGTGAACTCTTGCATGTATTCATATGTAATTTTTTTCTCACAGTAATCTGCTTTAGTCAATTTAATTTGTAGGTTCCCAATCACTGAATGTAAGCCAGTAAAGGAAATATTCTCCTTCTCAACAATTTCCAGGAGCTAAAATTTTAGTAACTCCTACTTACAACCTTTATTCCCTTTTCTGTCCTTTCAGTGTGCTTACTTGGCAAAACTCCCAACTACACAACAGACTGATTATCATTCTTACCCCCTTACATCCCCCCAGGCATCTAAGTGCTGCTGAAGAAAGTCACGCACTGCCCAGCGGTCCTGCTACTTTTATTTAGTTAATTTGCACCTTCTTCCTTCTCAGTGATGATTTCAAATTCCCCTCTCTGTAAACACCTCCCTCTTTCTCTCTCACGTAAGCCAGACAGTCTTACTTCTGACGACAAACTTCCTGAAGGAGCTGCCTGCTTCCCCACCAGCAGTCTGTCCCCACTCACTCTGGTGTGTCTCCCCTTCCTCCATCCCCACACAGCGAGTCACTTATGGCTCCCACGTCTAAACCAAAGTGACACCTTTCCGGCCCTTGTCTAACTGAGCTTCTCATTCCTCCGAGTGTTCCATGTGACCGACCTCTAACTGACCGCTGCCTACAGCATCCTCTTTAGTCTTTAGCTGAAGGTGGTGTTGAAGGTGAGGGCTGCCGCCTTCTTGGTGAGCTCACTCCGTTTACCCTGGCTGTCTCCCATGGGTATAGACGGGAAGTATACATGTTATTCAATTTTTGTTTATTTTTCTCCTGTTAGTCTGCCTCATGTCAGGTTAATTCTTAGACCAGCCAGATGAGCCTAGAATGGTGGAGGACCACTCCCCGCCCCCACCCCAGCTCAAGCCTGAGCACAGGTAGGTGTGCTCATTCACAGCTGGCGTGGGCGCTGCCGCGCCTGCAGGGAAGAGATCCATGGCAAACGCTGCTCTTCCTCCAGCACTAGCCATTGAGCTGAAGCTCACCTGAATGTCCTCCAGGCTGAGCTGGGGTCACTGCTCCCATCAGCAGAAGACTGCCTTTGTGAAGGAAAAGTAAAAATGGATTCTGCATTGCTCGAGAGGACTCACTAAGGAGGTGTGACTTATGTACATCTCAGCCCACAGAGAATCCGGC